ATTATTGTTCATATTTATTAATTTTATTATATTAAAAATTATGGGAATTTTTTTAAATTATAATATTTTTTTTTATTTTAATATTTGTTACTACAAAACTAGTAAATAAAATTATATAATTTATTAATATCTATGATTCAGTTAGCTTGAATGAATAATAAAAAAATAATTTAATTTTTTTTTATAAAAATAATGATTATGATGTTTGTAATCATTTTAATTTAAAAATACAAATATATTTGTAATATCTAATATCTAATTTGTAATATCACGCAAAAAAAAAAATTATATTTTCATTAAGATATAAAGATTAAAATAATAGAATTAAATATATTAAATTTTATTTTTCTTTCATTTCATATTTTTCAAGTATCTTATATATAAAAATTTTATATATGAAGATATTGAAAGTATAAGAAAAAGGAAAATATATAAAATTTAATAGTAAAGATATATTTTAGAATAAATAAAATAATATTTTTATCGTTGGAAAAATAAAAATAGTTATATTCCTTTCATAATGTTTATTAATAGTGATTTTATAATGTGAGTGAATTATATTAGGGATAATATGAAAATGGTAAAGGCAGTAGAATAATACTGTATTACAAAGTGTTAGAAGCTCTAAGAATGTTCGTATATAAATATTTGCACGACATTAGATATATTAGTACTAATATTTACTTATTGTTAGAATACTTAACATCTCATTGCAAAGAGTTCTGAAGTTCTTTTACTTCCTACTGAAAGTTGCAAAAATATTATAAAATTGAAAATAGAATATTTAAAAGAAAAACTATGAGATTATATTAACTGTATTTAATGGAAATAAACAATTAATTATATTAATAATTAAATATATTTATATATAGAAATACATATTATATTTTATATTTCAATTTTATATAGTATATTTTTGTTAGTTATAACATGATGCTACAATAACTGTACATATACATGTCACTCATGAAAATTTTCAAGAATTCTATTAAGATAATATTCTAGGTATTATGATATATATGTTAGGTTTAGAATAAATATTTTATCCTTATCTTTATTAGTATATTAGTGTATATTAATGTATATATAACATATAGCATACACTAATTTATAAAAGGGCAAATGAAGATTTTTCTGAAAAAAGGATTATACGTTTAAAAAATTATTTTGAAAAATGATATTTTAATTCTCATCATATATCCCATAGGATATAGGATGTTTTTTTCTTCCAATTATTATTACATCATATTACTTTCCTTCTTCATTATATTTAAAATATATTTAACACTTTTTTTCAAAAATAAAATTCTCTCATAATTATGCGAATACGATGGAAATTCAACACAATCGTAATAGCATATACGTGCGTGTACATAATTCATTCACTTTACCTAACATTTACGATTCATTCAATCCCATGAAAAATTAATGAATCGTGCAATCTAAACGATGAACAGTCTCTTAAAATTATTTCTGGTACAACTGAAAATTCTCTATTTCATTCGTCGTGTCTATTTTCGCGGCCCACGTCAAAGATTAACTAGGCCCACACTCCTGTGCACGTTTTTATCTTCCGTGTCCTAACGGAACAGCTCACATCTCCCTACCCCTTTCACATTAACGGCCTCCTTGTTTTCAGTGCAAATATTTCCCGTTCAACGTGCTCATAAACCCGCCGTGAGCGGAAGTATCGCGTCAATTGATTTACGCGAAACGTTCGCTTTTTTTTCCACGAATCAATCGGAAGGAGGATAGTTAACCTTTCCATCCGGATTGCTTATCGATGGATATGAGTCATCTATTTTCGAAAAACAAAGATCATGAGTTTTTTTAATTTTTCTTTTTTTTATTGTAAGGCGATTTCTTACATTTTCTTATATTTTTAATACCCTGAGATGAGATATTTTTAAAGTCACCTTGAAAACTTAAAGTAACAGGAAGAATTCATATAAGTTGCATAAGGGGGCTGTTAATATCCTGCCTACAATCAAGTCTGAGATTAATTTTTTTTTAATTTTGTTTTTTTTTTTTTACGATATTTTTGATATTTTGATAATTAAATAATTTGGACTAGTTCTAATATACTATATTATATAGTATTTTACGTCTCAAAAATTAGAATCCTTTGCAATTTTTTTAATTATTTTTCTAAAATTAATCTGCTTTAAATATAAACATAAAATTTCCTAAAATAAAATCATTATCCAGACAGATTAGACCATAATAAAATTTACCTAAATAATTTGACCTAAAATTTTGCCATTGATAATATTTATCAGATCATATCACTTATAATAATGAATTAAAGTTGAAAAAATTCATATATGCAATTTTGATATGATGATTTGTATTATCTGATATTTGTCGAAATCATTCTCATATCGTTTCGTGTCTTGAACAGATAATATAAACCAAGCATAATTCATTCGTTCCTCGACAGACAATCCCAAAGAGAAAGTTGTAAAAGCAGCCATGGTGTCGTATTCGCGGAAATCGCGTCGCGCTGTTCTGGTTGCAACGTAATATCATAACTTAAAAAAAAAAAATTTTTAGTACAGTTGCTTCACGAAGAATCGATTTTAAATTCGCTTTTCAATCTCGTTTCATATCGAACAAACGATTCAATTTTTCTTTTAATCACGGTTTGGATTGTTTCTCATGTTATGCTGTGTTCCTGTATAGGATATGTGGAAAAAAATTTATATAACAATTGCATAAGTGTTTTTATTTTATATATTATATTTTTATATTTTTGTTATATCTTATATTCTTGTATATTGTTTGTTGTTTGTTTGTTCAATTTTATAGATATGTTTTGTTTCTTGACGAAGGGGATAAAATTTGTAGATGATAGGATAGAATGAACAGAATAATTGGACTATAGAATTTTTTTTAATCTTTTCTTCTGATTCTTTCAAAGAAGCTTTATCTTGGAAGCTTTATCTATTGATACAAAGTAATGGATTCGTTTCTTTACTCTGGATATCAAAGAAAATGATATTTAAAAAAGAAAATACTTTATTATTCTTTACTTTTGCTACTGTTTCCTCAGAATAAGTTTTATTATTATCTTTTCAAAAGAATAAGATTATAAATTTTTCTCATAAAAATATGATATATAACTGATATATATTTTTTTTAAATTCATGAAAGAATCATTTCTTTATTTCTTTTTTTTTTTTTTTTGACTAAATCATATTTTCATATATTTCACAGAAGATAATAACTAAATTAATTCAATCTCTTGTTAATTCTATCTCTCCACTCGGTTAATTTAATAATCTGATTGAGTGAACTTGTTACTCCTATAAATTAATCTCTGAAAAACAGAATGCTTTTGTTAGCCACTTTTCCATCTTATGAAATATTACAATATGTTACGTTATTTGATTATTTTACGCTTATGATATATAATCTCTCGTCTGTAAGCTTATCATATAAGCTTGGAATGTTATCATAAAATTATTTCGTATCAAATTATCTAATTAAATTGCTTATAACGTAATAAATAATCGATATTTTTCTATATCAATTTTTATATTCATTATAACCTCTAGAATCGAATTTCTAAAAATATCTCGTGAATATATTAATATCCTTTATAATTATGAACCGTGGTAACGGAACATTGGCCATCATTGATTAGTTTTATAAAATATTTCTTTTTCCTTTTTTATTTCTATTCACTGTATAAATGGTGAAAGTGAAAGTCAACATTCATACTCTATAGCGTAATTGTTTCAATCATGAATATTATAGAAAAAATTTTTGTTAAAAATAATTGGTGGTTAGCAAATTAATTATAATTTACAGACTTCTTCTCAACTTATATTTTATATAACGGTTTATTTGTTAAATTATCTAACTCGTTTATTCATTATTTTCCTATACAATAAAAAAAATATGATAAATTAATTTATCATAATTAAAATTAATTTAGTTTATTTATCAATATTCGCACAAACATCTATTGTTTTTAACTTAACATTTATCTTCTTTTATTTTAATATTTTCCTTTCCCTCTAATTTTTTTACTTTAAAAGAAACAAAATTTTTAAATGTACTTATGTCTTTATAAGAAATAAACTTGTTGAAATTTTCTCAATTTCGAGTTTTAAATCAAAATGTAATAATTCAGATTCGGTGGATGCGCAAATATGTCTGTGCCCATTAGACTGTGAAACAAAAATTCTTAATGCTCGCTCAATGTTGCGGCGCCATTTTCGTACTTAACTCGCGATTTTACTCGATAGAAGTCCTCAACTCGATTAACATCTTCTATTTTCTAATCTTTTATCCATTCGGATATTTGTTATTTTCCTTTTCTTGAATTGTTTTATAAATTAAAAATTATACGATCGTTGTTTTTTTTTCTTCTTCTTCTTTTTGAATGTAAATAAGATAAAATCGAAGTCACGATGCTTCCTCCACTTGTACCGGAAATTAATTAAAGACAAAGGAAACGTTTTGCCAACAACGCGTGTACAGCGCTCGTTTAATACCTCACCTTTTGTCTGCTTTTCCCTTGCACGTTCAATAACCATTCCTTTGTCTTGCTAATATTGCTTTTATTGCTTGTCCGGCCACCATACGACTTCACGATGAATAAATTACTACATATTGCTAATTTCATGCATATAAATTGCGCGGCTGAAATTAAGAGGAAAATTTGTTTTTTTAATTAAAGTTGAAATAATTATAATAATTGAATTAATCTTATCGAATGATTTAATTCTAAGTTATCATGCACGGGTAGACTTAAAAATAAGAATATTCTAGTTTAAAAATACTTAGAAATTCCACTTTTAATTAGTGAATAATCGTTGATAATAATTTCTAAATTCAACGCGCTGTCAATTGTTTCTGCAATTAAATATATCTTTCGATTATTTAAAAAATATTGATTATCAGAACCTTTTAATTTTACATTTCGCAGAATGTATCAAACGATATTTTTGAAAAATTTACGATTTTAATTCAACAAGCTCAAGTATACTATATTCTTTTCTGTATTCCAAAAAAAAAAAAAAAAAAAAAAGTTAAAAATCTACGAGGAAAGAAAATTTCTTATCTCATTTCTTTCTAATCCACAATTTTCAAACGTATAATTCCAGGTTTCTGTTTCATTACAACAAACGTTGTGTCATTAACAAACTATATATGTTAGAAAGTAAATCACACTTTGATTTCCACTTTCCTTTATCCTCTCCTCTTTTTTTCATTCCACTTTCACGTAAACGGAATCGTGTCTGAGATTCGATTCAAGCGAAATTTATCTGGAAAACAATTTATTATGAGCAATGTATGCCGATATCTGGCGAAACTTTATATACGTTCAGAAAGTTCACTTACCACCTTATCCAGGATGGCGAGAGCCGTTTGGCATTGTGAATACTTAGCACGGCAATTTTATCGATCTTCACCCAAACGAACGTCGGGGCCTGCCTCTTAATTCCGGAATCGCGTGTTTTCCAGAAACTTGAAGGAAGGTCCACGAATTGATCCCTCGATTTCCTAGAAATCACGTGCAATAATTTTATCAAACGTATATCGATAAGGTTCTTCGTTTTTATTTCTAATTTATAAAAGAAAAATTGTAAAATTAACGACTCGTCGATGGTCGAGATGGTAAAAATAGAATTGAAATTTAAAAATAATCGACAGTTTGACTGTCGTTGTTGCCACGTATGCGTGATTTTATGGAGTTATCAGCTGACATCACGTAAACATTTTGCTTGGGTAGGTATATATTTTTGTGGAAATTTGGTAATTATATGCAGGATAACGTGACCGTTTCAAATAATTCGTTGATGTTTGCTTCTATAAAAATTATTTTGCGCAAAAGTTGAATTGGATATGGAAGAGAGTATAATTTTTTAATACGTTTTTATAGATGAATAAATAATGGATCTTTCATCTGCAAAAAGAAAAAAAAAGTTATAATAGTAATACCGTGTAATGTTTACATGAAACATATTTCAATGTTTTTATGATTATAATGTTATAGTGCAATAAATAATTACACGAGTTACACGGTATATGTTTTACATATGCTTATGATAATTTGTGTTTGACTTATGATAGTGAAAGAGAGATAGCAAAGTAATGTTACAATTGCATAGAAAATTTTCTTTTTCTCCTCTTTTCTCATTTTATACGGGATAGATCTAGCTAATTGGTAATAGTTTATAATAAAATTAATGTAAACAGTTATATTTTAGACAGTTATATTATAACTATTTAATTATAATTATAATTTAGATGATTTTTACAATGTTCATTTTATTTAATCAATTCATTCATAATATCGTTATCTATTTTCCATGGTCTGTTAGATCAAGGTTCATCATTGATTAAAATCTTCTGAATGAATCATTCTAAACTAATTTTATTGCGTGTTATATTTAGTTCTTATGCTATTTACTTAGTGTTTTAAACATGTTTCTTGAACACATTGCATTATCATTTCTACGACATTATTCACATTATTTTTTTTTTTTTTCTTTTTTTCTTCTTCCACTTCACCTTTCTCCTTAAAGGGGAAATTACATCTTGTTTTCATATAGGTTTCTATTTATAGTAAGTGATCCCTTTTATTTCCTTGCAATATCTCAAATTTCTAATAAAATGGCGCAGAACAGTTTTCAATTTTATATATATTACAAGAACAATAGAAAGTTTAATGAAATTTTCTTTACTTACAAATATCCTTCCTTTAAAATCCTTTGATCTTTTGAAATCAAACATTTAATGAACTTGTAAAAATTATTAATAACTAGAAACGTATCTTTTGTAATTTTTTTTTTCTCACAAAAAGAACATAACTCACACAATTTGAAACAAATGTATTTATTACATAATTAAAATACTTTATCATATATAGAGCATGAAATTAATTATATCTTCTTCCACGAAGAAAAAAAAAATCTGCGCAAAGATTAAAAATAGTCAGATTTATTATTCCATTCTGGACTTGATCAAAAATACAGGATTTCAACTGACACGACGTTTTCTTTTGTGACCCACTTGAATAAGTCACGTTACCGGGGATGGAAAGCTCGATTCGTTCGGGTCGCGAGTCGATATCGAAATAATTACAGGATTACAGAATGGCGAAAGAATTTTTAACTAGCGTATTTTCAAACGATCGGTCATTTCATCCGTGGATTGTTACGACAGCCAGCAGTTAACCTTGAGGTTCCTGTTACCGAGGGAGGGCCGTATTTAGAACTTCATCGAACCGAAAGAAGCGGATGAACCGGTTCCACATAGATTCCGTTCTATCAACTTTATCCTCGTGTTCTCGATATTGTTATAAAATACGCTTACCCACCATTTATTATCACGTTTCTCATTTACCTTTTCCGCTATTTTGATAACCGGCACACTCGTGTTCTTTAAATAGAATTGTATCTACATTATTTAGTATATTATTAGTGTTGGATTGCGTGTTCATTCATTGTTAATACACGCATTGTATTTGTTATTCGATATGGATGATCATAATTATTTTAACTGTACGAGCGATTTTTGGAAAATTACAGTTTCATTCGTATAGCGTACAGTACTAATTTGGTGCACGCAATTGCTTCATGTTACATCTAATTTTAGGCTTAACATGGAATTTAATAGGAGATGTAGGAGATTTAGAAATTTTCTCTCAGGAAAAAGTGATTGCTAGAAACGATGATTTATTGTAAATATTAAGGAAAATATTTTAAAAATTAGTTAATAACGAATATTCTAGACAGTTTTTTGTCTAGTTTCTTTATATAAAATGCAAAACTAATGAAAAAAGTAATTATATAAGCATAGTTGGCTTTCTCTTATTATCTATACTGTCACTTTTACAATAACAATTTTTTAAGATATATATTTTAAGATATATATAGTTGGTAATATTACTTTTTATTCATATTTTTATACGTTGCAAGTGGAAATTTAATATGCGTCCAAAGTCAACGAACCGTCGAAGATTCCGTTCCATCATCTCCATCCAACAAGATCTTTCGCAAGAACAGGCGTATATTTTTTTCCCCAACTTTCAATCTACTTTTTTACCGTCGACAAATCTTCTTTTTGTCTTCCTCAAAGTATGCATTGAGTCGATCTGTAAAAAAAACATCGAGTTATAAAAGAGAAAAAAATTTGTGTTGATATCAGAATATGGTTTTCTTCTTTTTTAGCATCTTTCAATAACAATTCGTATTAAATTACAATACTATTATGCAACTATTATTAAGTGACGTAAAACAGAGAAAGGAAAATTTTACGATCGATTTACCGACCAACAGCAAAGTCGGCAGCTTCGTGCACGAAACGAATATATGTAAAAAAGAAAAAAAAAAAAAATAACGATCGAAATCGAGAAAAATAAATCTCATTACTAAAATATAATCTTATTGAAATACAAATTCGATGCCATATTTCCAAGAGTAGATTTTTTTTTTTTTTTATGTTTATTATTAAGGATTAAAAGAAGACGGGCGCAAAGATGGTGGGGACCTTGGATCCCTTCCCCTTTCACCTTCGCGAAAGAGGAACGAGTGACTGGCCGCGATTTCTTTCCTTCTTGGATACGTGGCTGTACGATAGTGGCGCCACGATTGGTCAAAATCGGAACTGGCGATCTGTTCGCCTCGGGAAAACGAAGCATGATCATGCCAGCTGTGATCGTCGTCTGCACGCGGCGATCGATTCACGTGGTCATTTAGATCGTTTAGTGGTGGCCAATGGCACTCGTGGATCGTTGGATTTCACTTCGAAAAAATATATATGGCTGAAAGTGCCGATTTCCCGCGAAATATTCATTGCCCTATGCACCTAACTTCAACTTGGTTTGTTTACCCGCGTGACGCGTGACTGGCCACCGTGTCGTTTGCGAAAGTGAGACCAGTGATTTCAACGAATGAGTTTTAGTTTTGCTTGAAGATCGTTGTGAGAATCATCGTGTCTCGTCTGCGACGCATACATCGTGACATTTGCGCTCGTTTTAGCGTGGAACTGATGCAGTTACGGTAAACGGTTTCTGCGAGAAAACTAGTTTCACCGGTAGCCGAGAAACAAAGACGCGCCAAGCAGAGATTTTGTTTAATAACCTGGCGATGTCTGGATCATTTTTGACATATATATATATATCGAATATTACATTGTTTCTCTTTATCCTTTCGTAATATTCTATTTTACACTTGTTCAATAAAAGTATTTAGTATAGTTTCATCGTAATTATAATTTTTTTTATAATAGTTTTTATAATTATAAAAAAAAGTATATTCGTATAAGAAGTAGCAATAATAGTTTTCTACTAATATTTGCAAGTATAATTCTTTTTTTATATTTTTATATAATCATAAAATTGATTCAAACTATAGATTTATTTACGTAATCTATCGTAATATGTCTAGATAGATATTAATATGTTTATGGATATTCTTTTTAGGGGCCAAACAAACAAAAGCGTATAAAAATTTCGATTGAGATTCATTTATTAACTTATAAATGGAATGAGATAGCGGTGAAATAGAGATCTGTCTCATTTTATATGTTTCTTTTTGGCCTTTAGAGTTATAATATTTCTTTTTTTTTCAAATATTCTGCCAAATTGTATTAACACTCTGTATAAAGTGTCAAAATTGATCTAGCTATTCCAATTTCGATGTCTGAAGGTTAAGATGACAAGCATTTTATCAACGAACTTATCGAAACAATTAGCGGTAAAAAATACTTCACAATTTCACAGTATCGTGGAAATTGTAACATCGAATTTCAAAATTCAAATGAATTTGAACAAAGATTATTGATTTCGTGTTCACGAATCGATCATATATATTCTGCAAGCATTGATGACAATTAACCTAACTTTTTTTCTATAACAAATTGTAATCGAAATTCTTCGAGCTTCGTGAAAAAAAAAAAAGTGATTTATCGTGTTGACATGAAAACCGATATGCCGGACATTAAGCAAGGAGAGGTAAAAATTGAAAATCGCCGGGAACCGTCGAAACAAGGTTCGAGATCGAGAGTGTGTCAGGAGCATGATGAACAGGACTGTCTAAGTGAAAATGAACACGAGTTCGAATCGCTGGAGTACGAGGAGGATGTATATTATTCGAATTTAACGGCAACGCCGAGTTTCGATGACATTGACGAGCTCAGTGACGACGTGGACGAAATCGTTGTCCATTGTTGGCGGGATTCGAACGGTGATATAGACGAGATCGTAGTGGACGATGCAAATTTGTCCGTCGAGACGCAGTTTTTGACGAATGATGCCGAGGACGGCGCCACTAATCGAGACCAGAAGAAGAAGAAAAAATCAGTTCGAGTGATATTCCAGGATTTTTCGAAGCCGTACTTGGCCAAAATTAGCAACAGTCAAAATTACAAGAAGTTCCTCGAACTGGTAAAAGGTGCAGCATTATTAATTTTTATATATAAAATGATAACAATCTGATATTGCGTCTATGACTCGATCGAGTCTACCATCGATTTCGCCGATTGTTGATAAAACAGTGTTTTTTTTTTGTTTCATTTTTAATTACAATAGAGTTTTTTTTTTTTTTTTTTGCATTGATTGATACACCAACGTTCTTGATTCCTTCGTGTATGCCAATTTTATAATAGATAATGATGGATAAATTTATGAATGTTATAATTGCATTATTTATGGAGATATCGATCTCATTTAGATCGTGTCTTAATAGAGTGGCAGTCACGCGATACATTTGCAAAATTCCCTAGGTTCACACTTTTTCCCGCTGATTTATAATCCCCACATGTTCCAGACGTTCGATCAAAGTAAAGAAACGGACGCCATATTTTTTTTCCCCAAGGCAAGTTTAAGCACGTTTTATCGGTTTTATTTATCACTTTCGTATGAATCGAAATTTATACGTATAAACGTATCGTAAAGTAGAACAGTATTGCAAAATATGAAAGTGAGAAGTATATCGGCATTTCGTGTTGCCTCCACCGAATACTGGAGCGGCGTGCAACGGTATCTCAGAGTAACGTTACATTACCATTTTTGTAAGTAATGACAAGAAATGTTCTTTTGTATTCTACTTGGAGAAACGATATTACTGCCGCGATAAATTTTGATATCGCGCACACTTATCGTAAAAAATATTGTAACACGTTGCGTCCAGCTTGGGGGGGGGGGGAATTTAAAAATTTAATAATTGCGACTTTGATAAATTTATTCTTCGACAAAATAGTAATTAAGTTTAGATTTCTTCGAAGCTTCGATCGAAATCATTCTGCGTTTCGCTTCGTTGAACTCGCGAAAGTTCACGACTTCCACTTACTCTGTTAAATCGATGACATTCAGGATGTGCGCTCGTTTAGACAGAGATTAGTTATACGGCGTAGAAATGTTCGTCCTTAATCGCTCTAGGGAGCAAGAAAAAGCAATAATTAACTACTTACTGTACTTCCTTCTTTTGGTTAAAGCTATACGTATTCGATTATCGTTAAGCTATAATAGCGTTCCAGATTTTCTGTTTATGAGTAATCATTTTATCCTTAAATTTATCGAGTGCTATTTCACTTTCACTTAATGCGCGTAATTCTTTTCTTCTTCTTTTTTTTTTTTTTACGTAAAAACGCGGAATTTCTCGATATTAATACAAGTGAAATTTCAGATTTAACTTTTCGTTAATTAAATATTTTTAATTTGGTGTGATAGGAAATAATTTATACTTGTTCCACGTAAAGAGGAAGAAGTTACGTGAGGATTATTATTAGCACATGTTTTAGTTCTTAAAATTGAAAGGATTCTTTCTTTTCAACTTTCAGAATATAATAGAAATTTTTTGAACGTGTTAAATGGTTTGATCTATTTTCAAATACAAATTGTATTTTAAAAAACGTAAAGATTTCTGGGGAAAAAATGATAAAATTTATGAAAAGGCAATTGTAAAAGTATAGAGCAATAGTTTGTGTAAAACGATACCAGCATCCGTGATTCGATCGGTTTATAAGTAGATGTAATATGATCGATAAAATGACAATGATCTGTCTTTCGATTGCGATAGTGGGTGTTTTTATTGAAATTGTTGATCTGTTGAAGCTTTAATTTTTGATGCTTGAAAATTTATTGTAGCTGTAATGCATTTCGTATTATTATAGTAAATTAATTTCTTCCACTTTATTATCTTCATTTTTATTTTCATTTTGATATTATTACGAACATCATTTTAGATGATTCTATACTTAAAATTTTTATCGTCCTAATTTTATGCAGAATAAATTATACATTCATAAAACGTGTTTTAAAATTGTAGAAAACATTTTACGTTGAAAGATGAAATTTTAAACGAGACATTACTCGATTATATTCATAAATAAGGAGGGAAAGATATGAAATATATGTCATGGAAAATGTATCAAGTTGGTAGTCAGAATCTAAAATTATAATTCGACAAAATTTTATATTTCACGCTTTTGAATGATTTAAAAGTTTTAGAAAAAATATTTTCTTTTTTTAAATATGTTAAATTATAATACAGGAAATTTAATTCTTCACTGCATTCAGATTGCAATTTGTATTTCAAAGACGAATACAATTATGTAAAATAAAGTAATATTAAATTATTAATCACGTTTAAAAATTAAAATCATTAATTATTAATGGAAAGTGAAATTTCCAATGGAAATAAAATAAAGCTTCAAGTTTCAATAAAACAAAATTTCTTAAGAAATAATAGAAAAATTTAATTTTGCTTTAAATTAAAATTAAAAATTGCTTGACAAATTTAAAAAACATTAATAATTAAACTACCGATTTTTATATAGCTGAAATATGTTGAAATATTCAATTAATATTTAGAAAATATATTATATTATACAATTTTTTTTTAATTTTAATAAAATTTGATCAATAAATGATTAAAAATTACCTTCTCTTTACACGATGATATTTCAGGAACTGAAAGTCACATTAAAATAAGTGAAAAGATATTTTAAAGACCAAGATTTCACGTTTTTTTAATTCTAAAATAATTTTCAATCATTGACCTTTTTTTTTTTTTTTGTTCCAGGAGAAGACGCCAGTCTCCACTCAGCTGGTTATATTTCGCCAACATCAGATAACGTGGTGAACGAGTTGCAAGGACTTTCTTTGGAAGAACAAAATCGTCAGAAGGCGGAATGGAGCGCAGAATTAGCCAAAGTACATCTTATTATCCTTTTTTCCATCCTGTAAAAAATATCGAACAGTTAGAATTGTGAAATATGACTCGAGAGAAATTCAGTGATCGTGAAATGTGGCACATTTATTTTGCTTTGTAAGGATAGTTCTACTTTGAACATATCCAAGATCCTTGCTGTCGAAATAATTATTCATTTGCGAAAGTAGATGGAAAGTGGAGTATTGAAAATCGTGAAAGTAGATTGTGGAAAGATATAGGCTTTTCAAATTCTTAAAAATTTAATTTATCAAATAATCAACGATTATAATTGGAAAGATCTAGAACTTGGATACTTTCATATAATTACTTCACAATGGAGTAATTATTTTTTTAATTATTTAGAAACTTATGAATTAAATTTTTCTTAAAAAAATCAATCTTCAAGAAAAATTCGAACACGAACGATTAAGTGTTTCACTGAAAAAGTCACGTTTCGTAGGTGGAGGAAGAGATTCAAACCCTGAGGCACGTGCTGGCGAACAAGATCAGAGTCTCTCAAGATTTGAAGAGGAAGCTGGGTATCAGCGTTTGGAAGGAGATCACTGATGATATGAATCAAGGGTTGAAAAACGTTAAGGAGAGTCAAGTGTACGTTTTTATTCAGTTCATACAAAGCACGCACTTTTCTATATATTTTTCACCCTCATCTTGCACGAATGGAGTCTTAGCTGAGTTTCGCTGGCGCTCTTGTGCGCAGGGTTTTCAACAGCATGATCCATTTTAATTTTTTAATCGTTCCCTTAATATCTTATTTATTATCGTATTCGTTAATATGGAGTTGGAATTATTTAATGCAACCGAAGAATAGTTAATTTATTACATTGAATACCAATGTATATAATTTATTTAGTTTTCGAGTTCATTATTTAAATATAAAACATTATATACAATACTTTATTATATGATACGATATATCAGAAGGAATATTTAATTATCACATTATACATCATCGAGCATTAATAAAACTCTTGAATAATACTTTGAATAATTAACAATAAAAGCAAATTAAAATGTTAATAGCCCAGGAATAAATACATTGCAAACAGTTAATTATTTAATCACAGAAAATCAGAATTAATTAAGACTGAACTACGAAAGTAATATAAAGTAAATAATACTATACAATTATATGCAGAATTTTCTTATTGAACAAGCTCGTATTCGTAACATGCTGTTGAAATGCCCGAGACTCCAAATACAGTTACGAATGCCACACGCGAACAATTGTGCGGTTCAAGCTAGAGCTATAAAAGCTTGTTGCCATTATATAGAGATGTCGAGGTTGCTGTAATTATATTATTATCAGAAAACACGATTATTTGTCTCTTTGTGACGAAACATTCTCACTTTTTGCCCCAATGTAAGTAGACGTTCATTAAGAATCTTCAAATCTCTTTTTATTTTCGGCATTGTAAATTATGTATCTTTTTTTTTTTTTTCAAACGATCTATTGTACAGACATCGCGTTTCAAGCCGCGAGAAACGGTACGCATGCACAATACTCACCTTTTTTCTACATTTATATAAAAACTTACAATTTAGAAGTGTGCGGGTAGACAGGAATTATTTTGGGTGTCCAAAGTTTGGTTCGGGTGTCATCATGAAAGAATTTTCTGGAATCTTATCAAAAATTACATTTAAATAAATTTATGAAAATTAGATATAATTTAAATATTGGTATCAAAATTTCTCTAAGAATTTAAAGGTGATTAAAAAAAATATTCTATTAAAATTTCAAATTTTAAAAATGTATTTCTATGCAGGATAAACTACACATAAATACCAAGCCATATCTGTTTTTTTAGTTAAAAGTAGATTGCATTTTGTATACCAATTTTTGTATTTATTTTACCCTCTAAAATCAATCCTTCAAAAATATTCCATGAATATTATATCAGTGTCCTATATATGGCCAAATACAGTGCATACACATCCTGATATTATTATATTTGAGTAAAATTCTACGAATCCTGCATGCTCAACCATTTGCTATTTTATCCGTGACAAACGGATATGAATATTAATTAATTCCAAAGTATTTATATTAAAAATATAAACATCTCATCACATACTTATATAATATTTCTGGAATTTTAAATCTAATTTTAATTAAAATTTTTGCTCGATCCAGACTTACCAAATATTCGCACACTTCTAAACAACGTTAATTTTTTTAATTTCGCGCAAGGTGACGGCTACCGGCCCTCCCATACCCTTTTCGTTTATTTTCTGCTACTTCTGCTCTTCAGACATGTAGAACACTTTTCTTTGACTTTTGGTTGGGTTCTCATTCAGTTATCAGAACGTCGGCGAGAAACTCGGTCAGATCACCAAGGCAGTCACCGACAACAGTTTGTAAGTACACACATGCAATCGTGTTATCCTTCAGATCCAACATTTCCATCATAATTTAATCATCGATTAAAATTATGTCGTCCCATGAATGATATCGTTCATTTTAGAAGCCATCTAAAATTAAAACAAGAAATATTATTATGACTGCGATTTATAATCGAAGATAAATCTCTTGTGATTTTGATAAATGAAACTATCGTATTAATAAATATTTCTCCGGCGTGTATCATCCATTTTGTCCGTCACAAAAATTTTCTGAAAAGGAGAATTAAAATTCGAGTAATATTTCGATTGAAAGTAATTTCTGAAAAAAAAAAATATTACAAATTAAACGTAAATATTATTCCTTTCATCATACTTCTAAAATGAAATTACTTATGAAATAAATTTCTTTCTCTTGCGTGCATTCGATAGAAATTTTGGATCACAACGTACATAACATTTCTCGCCAATATAATCCCTTGCACGTTGTCACACTGCTCGCGTAAAATTCCAATATACGCTTAAGGTTCTTAATCGCGTTTTAAATTAAAAAAAAGAAAAAATGCGTATAGAGATTGAATTTCAACGGAATAGAATATTAAGTCAATCAAAAGCACGATACGCTAAAATCCAAATTGTAAAATCAGGTATATATATCGACCTCGAATCGTGGACGAGGCGCATTTCCTCATTATTTTTGCTTGCGTAAAAAAAAAAAAAAAAAAAAAAAGAACATAAGCTTTTATATAACTCTGATCTAGCGGAATGCTTGTGTGATTAATCCGTCACGAGGCTGTGTGTGAGTAAAAATGCATGTTTGTCCATCGGCTTGATTCATTATCCGAGTTGCCTAAGGCATCAGTGACCACGGACAACGTGACCTTGTCTGAAACAGGACAAGTCCCATGGTAAATGAATATTTATCGTCTCTTCGTCCACCCACAGATTCCAGAAGACGGAGTCTGTGTTCAAGACAACGGCTGAGAAGACGACCAGCATTCTTGGCGGCTTCGGCAGTGGATTATCCATGAAGCTTGGCCAGATGCGCAATTCAGACAGTTTTCGTTCATTGGAGGAACGAGTTGGGTCTGCCTATGAGAACATGAAGGTGATTAGATAGATGGATCAGATAAATTTGATTGTGGTTTTATAAAAGTCAGCATGATTTTATAAGAAATTTTATTTACTTAGATAGAATTTCTGATTTTAATTTTAATAAAAGTTATGTACAATTTTGTACGTGTACAGTGGCTCGAGAAAGAATTTGAACGTTATTTTATAGAGAATTTGATTTAACTTGAATATTCTTTTAATTTATTCTTTTAATGAAAGAGTATGTAGAATATAAGTTACACATGGAGCAGTTCGTCAAGAAGAAATCTCTTTATATGCTGGAAATTTACAGCAATTTTATTTTAAAAATTCTCATTTATAATTTTTTATTTTTTTTTTAAGATGTGATTTTATTTAAGAATATTTTTTGGATAATAAATCTGAGTATCTTGTAATTAAAACTTTTGTTTTATATTTTATACATAAATACATCACACAATTTATTTTCCAGTAAAATTACCGTTTCTATGAGATTAAGTCTTATAACTTCCAACCACGTTGTCGTCCTATACAGCTAATTTAAAATCTGGGTAACTTATTTTGCTAGAAATTTTAGATTAGCAGAATAAAGTTACTCATATATTATATTAATTTAAAATCAGATTATATTTGTTGCCTTGGATATTGGATCTTGTTTCTTTTTTAAAAAGAGTTGAAATGTGATTCAAAAAAGACTGAGTTTTTATTAAAAAACTGTAATAAAGTTTTTTAACATGAAAGAAGGAATTAAGAATACACTATACAATTTTCAACGTAAAATTAAAATCAGGATTCTTATCAAATTTTATCTTCTCTTAAAATATCTTTAAATATTTTTATGAAAGAAACATCTCTTTACAAATTATTTATTTTGCATACAATTTATACGTACCTTATAATAATATTACATGAATAGAAAATTTTTATATATTCAAGAAAACAGATATTTATTAATGCAAATTTTAAAATTGAAGCTGCTTTAAAAAAATAATTATACTTATAAAATTTAAGATAAATTGCAGACATTAGACTAACTTTAAAAATATTCATTTAAAATAATATTGATCTAACAATCAACTATTCGATTTTCTTCTTCTTACAAAAATTAAATTTGGAATTATAAACTCCATAAAATCAACTCTGATATTGTCGATTCTAATTGCTAAAACAATATCTTAACTTCAATTGCTTCCTAAACTTCGTAAAACTTTTGTGTCACTTTTTCAAAAGGCGAAACATATTTTTACAAAATTCCATTCAACCGGTTTTATGAATCGAAAATTTCATATTCTTCAAGTTTTAACGTGACGATAAAAAATTTCTTTTTTCTTCGAGATATTGAAATTTCTTCACAATTTTCTTTAAATTCTGTTATACACATAATAGAATACCAGATAATTATTGTAAAAATCTAACGAATTTTTCTTTATATTCTAGACGAAAGTTGTGCCTTCAAGATCCAACTCGATGCAGAGTTTCAACGAGATGCTTCGAGACACCGATTCGTTACGTTCTGCACCAACAGCAACCAGCCCGACCATTCCTGAAGATAAACTTCTGTCTTAGAGCTGGGCCTCTCGAGTCTACATCGATTTCTGCCTCTTCTCTGCGTAACATGCTGATGCGTCGATCCACGATGCCGGTTGTTTCGCTCTATGCTACTCACTATCACTTTCCACCTGCGTATTGCTATGCGATGTCATATAATCGATCATCTATTAAAAAAGAAAAAAAAAAAAAAAAAAGAAAAAGAAAAAAAATGAAATTGTGGAAAAGAGCAAAAAGAGTTGGCTTCGCGGAACTCGATTAATATGGTACAACTCGGATGATTCGTGTCATTTGGATGTCTCCTCGTGTGCACAAAATTGTGTAGGACATTGGACATTGATAATTGCAACTTGACGCTTCTTTAAAACTCAGTAAGTTGCACAATAAATCTATTAAAGCGAGAGATAATTTATTTTCTGATATATATTTATTTCTTTTTTTTTCTTATTAATTCTTTTTGTTCTATTTCTATTTTTTTTCTTAAATATATATATATGTATAAATTAATTTTTAACGATTATGGAACTTGTGTGTAATTTTATAGACGTGAAATCTTGATGATTTTTTGACGTGTTTTATTTTTTTTTTTTTTTTCTCGATTCGAAGAGAGGTGCAAGATTTTTGATTATTGATTAATTCATAGAGTTGATTTTTGTACGACGACAAGAGCTTGTATCAGAAATTTGCGTTTCCCCTAACGAAGATCATGTTACTCAAGAAGATGGCAATTAATTTCCTTATTTTATCGAACTTATTTGCACTATGGCGATTTTTTATAACGCATAATATATAATATATCGTTGATACGTACCTTAATGTTTCAACCTGTTTTTTGCACCACGAATTTGTGAATGTAGGGCACACACGCTTTGAAGATAGATATTTTACCTCGGTGGCGTTTCCTCCCGGACCTTATACACACTGGACCTCGATAATATTAAACATCTGAAATGGTATTACCTCGATGTATTCCTATGACATACGAATTCTGACTATCAATATTCTTCGATAAGACTCGTGCTTCGACAATACTATCTATTTTCGTGTGATAACAAGAGGATCCAATCTTCTTTAATTTTGAATTAGTGCGGTAATATTTTTAGATTATTCCTGGATTAATTTACACGGGACACAGGTAGCTGCCATTATCTTCTTAAGATTCTTAAATTTATCCTAAATGAAGAAAAAGAAAAAATATATATATATATATATACTTATCTTCATACGTTATTAAATGTCTTTATAATTATATCATAAAACATTTTATAACTCGTTACATTTAACGATAAAAACGATATCAATCGTAAAAAAAAATGATATTGCTATAGCAATTACGATCATGTTTTATTAGAATTGATATCTTTTATCGTTGTAAAAAATTAATTATAAATTCTAACTTGATATTGTTATTCAGTGCAAAATCAAATTCTTCGTCAATGTGCTTTAATATATATATATATATGTGTGTGTGTATTAACAAGAATTGTTTTCGTTTTGAAGAGTTTATGAAGAGTCTATGGATGGTTTAGAAGTAGTAGTCAATGGAAGAACGAGGCTCCCCGTGTTCCGTGATCATTGAGCCTTACAAACTGACTTTCAAAAAAAAGAAAAAAAATGAATAAATAAATAAATAAAAATAAAAGAATCGATTTAAATGCAAATTGACTAGGAAAGCGAAGAATATTTTTTATTACGCTCTAGAATGAAATTAAAATGGCGCGGATGCGCGATGACCAGAGCGCGTTTGTTTAACAGATGTGTTATAATTAATAAGGAATCGGATGCGATTATAAATATGGACACACTGATTACAAAGCATTTTTCACCATATTTAATTACGTTATCTATCATTGAAACTCGATTTAATCCTTATGAATCGTAAATCTGCGCTCACGTCGTCATCGACAACCTGCTACATGATACTACTTGTTCATTATGGTGAATAAATTATTTTAAAAAATGCTACATGTGAAGAGCGATTTTTCACCCACTGTATGGAATGTGATTTAAAATGCTTGTTAATTATTATATTAAAGATCTATGTGTGCTTTCTTAATTATATAAAACTTATTCGTACTTAATGGGAATTTAATAATATATTTTTTATGAAAATTTTAAAAGTTTCTATTTTTTTTACTAGTTTTAGTGGGATCTCTTCGATTCCTAGTTAATTAGATAAGATTATTCCATGAAAATGTTAATTTGCATTTTGACAACTATTTTTTTTTTTTTTGGTAATGTATATTTTGGTATCATGTAATTAATCATTTTTTAAATTTATAGAGCAGCATTTCTTCATCTTTACACAATTTATAAAATTGGGTCAGAATTTTGTATAACACAATGTATCATTGGAATAATCTTGTATATTGTTTAAGTATATCTGTACTTTGTATTGATACTTTAAGATTACCGTCCTAATATAAGAGACAACAACTTTTTGGAAATTACTCCATCTTCGAGTATTCCAGTTTCCTGCTTATAATAAATGGACCACTTTATAGACTATCTTATCAATCATTTTAACTTTTTTTTTTTAAATAACCCTATCTATAATTAAATTTTTACATCTTTGAAATTTGAGAAGAAGAAACAAATTTTTTCATCTGAATATACTTTTACTGTTATTGCGATCTTGTTACTATTAAAAACAAAAAAATAAAGAATTATTAAGAAATTATCAAAAAAATATTTATGTTTAAATCGGCTAATTATTATAAAGTCTTTTCATTTAAAAAGATAACTTAATCTTTAAACATATTTTATTGAAATAAAATTAATCAATAAATTTGATGTTGAATTTTAGTTTATCATGGAGAGAAAATATACGAAGATATATGGTGATGTATGTGGAGGTACAAGAAGTAAAAATACGAAGGTGGAAATACAATTATATACACGGTGAATTAAAAAAAGGAATTGGTCAACTACTTTATTGCCATTCTTCACGTGGTACAAAACATAGTTCGGGTGCGTACGAGCACGCTTAAGTACAAAACAAAAAACGATCCTCTATAAGTAGTCTTCTCCAGCTGCATGGCGAGAGCAAACAAGTAGAAAGGTAAGAAACAGAGAATGAGAAAAGGATAAAACGGAAATAAAATAAGAGAGAAAAAGGAAGAAATAGAAAAGGAGGGAAAGAGAAAGAGAGAGAGAGAGAGAGAGAGAGAGAGAGAGAGCTGTGTTAACATTATATGCAATTACATACATATCTGTGTATGTATGCGTATACATATTATATATATGTATATATATTCGTACATATATCTGTATATCTATATATGTATAGAAACATGTGTATATATTACGACTTCGTTAACAACATAAAATGTAATTATTCACATAACACAATAATCTGTGATCTATAATATTATAACGATTTTTTTTGTACTGGATAGGCCAACACGTACAGTTTCCTATATATATATACATAGTCGAGATTCTTTATTAAATCTTTAATAACTTCTTCATTTATATAAACATAGAAAAAAGAATCTATCAATTTTTCTTAATTCTGATATGAGGCGCAAGCTTAGCTTGTCGCTTTTTCTTTCAGGCAACGTGCAGGCCTGTTTGAGTATTATTTAGTTTAATTATTTAATTACTTATTTATTTATATATAATCATCTCGTTGAAAATATCTCGTAACAGATATATTTTGTTACCATGGTAACCTTGAAATTGGGATCGCCATCTTAATAAACAGCATCGACGTTTAAAATTAGGCATCGTATTAACTAGGAAGATAAGGGTGTGAAATGAAAAAAAATATATATATATATATATATTTATAATATATGTATATGTCTATAAACAAAAGGGAGGGAATTAAAAATGTTAAATTAAAAACGCAGTATAACATGATTGGAAGGGATCATTTTATAATACAACGGTACCTTGAGTATTATTCAACGTGAACAAATCGGCGTGACGGCTTTCTGAACGTCTGTCGTCGTTGAATCACGCGGTAACGATATAATTATGCTTACTATTAAGCGAATCACTAGTAACGATCGTAACGTTGATGAATCGCAGTTGTTGGCGGGAATCGATTTTGTGCCGAGAGGAAATTCGCTCGAGCCTCCATTGCTTATTCAAATCGTTAATATCCTTCGATTCTTTCAATTTCTTCAAGGAACAATTAGTAATATTTCTCTTTTTTTCTTTCTTTTCTATTACATATCTTGCAATATAATCATATTATGTTCGAACAATTAGAATGTCATTTTCTCACGAACTTCAAGATTTTTGTTTGCACAAATGATAATATTTATAATACAATTCTTAAAAAGATTGCATCTTGTTAAAACTAATGCTATGTTCCATGCTGCATTTGTAGTTCGGAAATGTTACGAGAGAGGGCAAAACTTGTATGCGAACAACTTCACGCATACATCATGATTCGTTCCGTACCTAACAACTAGCGCTAAGATTTAGCGTGCGAGTGGTGCATAATTTCGCTAGGTTAACTTCCATTATTGTGTTTGACTTAATTTACATCGATTAAACTTTACTACGCGAGTTTAATGTAATGTAATGTAATATACATACCACGACTTTTGTGTAAATATCACGTTTCAAAGATCACATTTCTTTGTGTTCCGCATGGTATGTATTTCTGGACTGTTTCATAAATTTTTGCATAATTTGATTTACAAATTGATAACAAGTTGACATTAATTTTGAGAGTTGGATAATATGTAAAAATATCTATTTTTACAAATGTTTATTAGAAATAATATTCTTATAAATTTTATCGAAATATTGAAAATAATAGAATTTTTTGAAATAAGTTGATAAATTCTTAATTGCACAATAATTATGATTTTTTTTCCCATAGTTAATATTAATCGAAAGAAAATTTGTGCTTGTTTCAAATGCAAATAGCATTATTCTATACAGTTGCACATTTTTCAAAGAGGCATGACAAATAATGTGAATTGCTTTTAATTCTCACGAACAAGTTGGAAATTCAATAGCTTCGAATCACCCTATCTGGAATTGTTCAATTATTTGATGATTACAACAGCATAGATAAAGTTTACAAATATCAGATTATTAAAACACTATTAATACCGTTATACGATAACTACAACATAAAATATATGACATAAAATAAAATTAAGTACTTAAAAATTAACCTACTCCAATCTCTGTTATAATCATCTATCACCTGACAACACCATCCGAAGGGAGTTTAACGAAAGTGACTACCAAACTTCCGAAAACAACTTACACAAATATTACACAACGTTACACAACAAAGAAATTCATGCAACTTATTTAACAAACCGTACACGTGCGTTTGCCCATGCATCGTCGAACAAAAATTTAATTTCTCTAGCAAAAATGTAGGAAACAGTCCGCGCCATCTAAAAAATACAATCTCATAATTGCACACAACGTTTACGAATAATTCGTAATATTCGAACAGCGAGAGACTTTCTTTCTTTCCTCCATGCACAACAGGCCTTCCTTCCTCACGATGCACAGAGATATCGCATGTTAGATGCGTCTAGGATGCGGCAAGCCTTCTTTTTCGCGGCAATAAAATTCACCTATGATAGTCGGGGGCCACGACATTATCCTCGTTTACCCGATTCAACCGTGGCGACCTTTGCACGTGAACGTTGCACCTTTCCGTGCAATCTCCCATCTACAGAGGCCATTGTTAGTATCTCTACCGCGGCTCTCTCGTGGTTCACGGCGAAAGAGGACGGGGGTGTGGCACACCTCCGTCCTACCTTCAGAAGGTTAACGCGCTGTAGCGGTATTAGTCGACCACAATGCGAATGTCGTTGAAAAATCTTGGGCCAACCGTGCGGTTGAATAAATCGTTGCGAGATTTCACGACGTTTCTGAATTTTTTTCCTTTTTTTTCTCGATGGACAAAGATTTCTCGTGGATGTGCGTGTGTGCGTGTATGTGTCTATGTATATATATATATATATATATATAGCAATGCATGCGGAAGGTGGTTTGGAGAATTTATCATACGAATTAACCCTTCGTTGTTAGCAAATGTCGATAGACATTTATAGTTTATAGGTGGTAATTGAATTAGAAGATTCGTAAGAAATGTTGAAATTTTCATCGATGCAATATAAATAAAATTGAAGAAAGATTAGGTCACAGCGATCAAGGTAACTAATGATATAGGAGATATGTGTATATCTAGCATTCATGATCCATCTTGTTAACATGTTTCTCGAAAACATTATGATCGATGAATTGGTTAAATCATGTTTTCCTATTAGCCAGATAATTACAGATCCCTCCTCTCTACGACTCAACTTTCCTATTTAAAATTCCTTTCTCGAATATCCTCTACCTTCAATCTTCTTCTCAACAGATTATATGGAATATAGTTGAAGTTCAAAATCAATTATCAATCACCCTAATATATATATATATATATATTACCAAGGGTGAATCAATTTAAGATTTAAAAAGATGAAAACCACGTATGGACGTTTCACAATTTTCCAAAGTCTTTAAATAGATTTCTAGATAGAAAATTTAAGGGCAGTGTTTTAAAGCAAAATTAATTAATTTTCTACTTGTTTCGCCCGAATAACCTTGCTATTACAATTACTCTTATTACATTTACATTATACAGATGGATATTTTCAACGTTGATCATCATCAGGATCGAAACGAAAAGTGGATGAAAAAAAAAAAAAAGTCTCACAGATATAATTATTGGCTCATCCCGATACAATTAAAGGACCGACCTAATTAAAACGACATAATGACAGAGTAACGAATCACAGCCACTCGTCCTTCGTAGCAAGACGTTGCTATATATATATACGCGAAATCGAGGGATCGATTACCGGGCACACGATCGTTGGTTGTATAGTGAGCGGCGATTAGAAGCCGGGTGGGTCGCAATCTGACTTTAAATTGGTGAAAGCCGCGCCGCTAGTGACTTTAAACACCGGTTGTAACCCTTATATGGCGGCTCTCATCATATCGGATCCCAAGAAGTGTGCAGAGCTTGCCGTTGTGTCCAAGCTAACGCGATTTTAAAGAATAGCTGCGAAGGAAGAGGAAATTCATGGGCACACGCCGATTACTGGCTATCGATTCCACCTCTCGTGAATCTAGATCTAGATGGCGCCCTTTTTTCTGCAGAGGTCTCTGCCGGTCTATTAATTGGAGCACCGCTGATTCCATCTGTTCTTCGTTCTTCTCTTTGTTCTTGTTTTTCAACCAAGTTGGAAACGATTCGAAATGTGTTCGAGTTGTGTCTTTCGTTGGATGGTTATATCTCACAAATATTTGGAAATAATTGTTGAAGGGATTTTAGTGATGAGTAAATTAAGAGTAATGGAAAAATATTTTTCTTTTTAAATATATAGAAAATTGATTATGATTTGTTGGAAATATTTTCGTTGGGCGAAAATATATTTATTATATAAATTTGTATTTGCTTATAATCTGATAAATAAGTTTATATATATTTGTATGTTTTTCGAACGTGTCTTAATTAAAATATGTTGAATGATAAGACATGTTGAATACCCTGTGCATACTGGTAGAACCAGATAGAAATTTTAACATCACTTTTAATGATGAGTCAAGGATAATTTGAGAAGTGGAAAATTAAAGAGGAACCTGAAAGTATGCTTTGTGACATTGTAAATTGAATTTATGTGAAAGTTGGTTGAATTAAATTTATCTTCTATTAAATCTTCTCTGAAGATTGTTATGTTTATGTCCATATATAAAATTGTCGAGATTATTCAATGTCTGCTTATTCGAAACTTGAAGTCGATAGCAAATATATTAATACAACATAATACAATACAGTGTGATTGAATTTGAAACCTTTGAAAATTAAAAAAAAGAAAAAAAAACAGAAAAAAAAGGATGTAAATTTCACAATTGAGTAAAAAAAAAATATTTCAATTCAAAATCAAGTATGCTCAAAATATTTTCAGCGCATCGAACACTATCGATGAATTTTACATAAGACTGCTCCCTTCTAGTTCTTTATGCTGTTTGAAATGTCATAAGTCGGATCGTGTGCGGACAGTTTTCATTCCTGAATAATTAGAGCCGTTTCACTTTAATAATAAAACACGTAATGTAAGTACCTTAAAAATAACGTTGAAATTAATCGAAAGATTTTGTATCCTCGTTTCATCCCTTAAAGAAAAAGATCAGGAATTTAAAATTCTTACGAATCACTTAAATTGTCACGAGATTATATCTAAATCTCTTCAAAAATGCATAAATTCACGGACCGAGTATTGCACCTGCAAATAAATTTCCTTCTCTTTTTATTCTTCCAATATCCTGCTTTATATCATTCATAAATTTCCTTCTCTTTTTACATTCATTCTTCTAATATCCCACTTTATATTCATTCAAAACTGGAGGGAAGAAAAATTAACGATATAAATATCTTCTAACCTAATTCCAAGCCACTTAAATATCTTATACAATATTAATACCACACGTAGAATACCATTTCCACTTCCTCCCCCTTCCGCCATTTTCACTTAACCTTTAAGCGTCGAGATAATACTCGTTCCAAATGGCCTTCTGTCCGAGACTTTAATCCGGCAAACTTGCAAATGCACGAATTTGCAGTTTAACAGAACCGTTATCGGGCATCTACCCACTCAAATCGTATATAACATTCGTTTCTAAATTGTGTACACCGGTAATAGTCAAGAATGAGTCAATTAGGCGTGCTCTCTATGATCGAGTCGATCGGAATTGCGGCCTGTAAAGTAAGTAAGTAAGTTTTCCGACAGTCACTGTACCAGCTGGCCCGGCTTAATTAACGCGATAAAGAGATATCGAGACAAGATATTGTTGTCGTGATAACGTATGAATATACGGTTTCACCGTTTACCGATAATCCATCCTTTCGTTATTCGCTAATTATGCGCTTAATTAGAATATTTATGCGTTGGAAGGCTTTCCTGGAACTTCCACTCGGCACATCGAGATTTAATTCGACAAGAAATCATGTTGTACATAGTTTCTTTCTCGTAGTTGCACGATTTCTCCTTGTTTCGTTTCTTTTAATTTACTATTTTTTTTTTTTTCTTTTGTTAAGTTCTAAGTAAGTAAAAGTTTTGGGAATGCTTTTTTGTGTGTATATAATGAGTATTGAGGGATAAACGAGTATCGATTTTAGAAATGGGAATGATGTTGCTGAAGAATCGTCTTGATTGTATGATTGTATCATTGAGCGTGGAATGGAAGACTTAGGAGAGAATTATACAATTAATTAGAATTTATAGAAAATTGGATCGTTGAAAAGTTATTTTCGTATTATTTTATTATCTTCTTTAGATTCTATTATCTATTATTTTGTAGTAGAAGAAATATTTAGAATTGTTATTTTATATACGAGGATAAAAGAAATATTGAATATGGAAATTTTTAATCTATGAAATATATTCGTATTTATAGGACTTTATCTGCTTCATCTTCAGAATATTTCTCTACAAGAAGGGTAATTTTATTTTTACTTAAGCTTCAAGATATGTAATATCGATTTCCTGGCAACAAAATATAAGTCGATTTTAAATATTTGTGAGACTTTAACTTCAATGTAAATCTGTCTTCTAATATCATTAACTTTATTATATCATATTTATCATTAATTGTTACCAAAGGCTCTCATATTTTTAATTCTTTCTCCATAAATCTTTCTAATGTTATGGACCATATCATTAACTTTTTTTTTTTTTACTACATCATCTAATCAATAACTGACCATCCTAGCAGCCAATCTCCAAATTACGATTCGATAACGCTATCACGAGAGTCATCTGACGGCCAATCAAGGTAATCGCTTTTCTTATCAATCTAATTCATGATTTGAGACTAGTTTCTTTCCATAAATTCGATGAAAGGATGGAAAGAAATTTCTCGTCGTTACTGAAACAAGATATCTCTAGAACCTAATAGATCCAACGTCTATACTTAATCCATCAGTAATCATCAACGTGGCCTCCAATGCTAAATTGGCTATGCATCATTAAGAATGGACTCTGGGAATTATCGCATCATCCTTCGAATGTTTACTAGTCGATCAACGAGAAACGAATTAGTCGTATTAAGTTAATGTTCAGCCACTGAATGTAAAATATCTTGAAGAAATATAGAGAGTATATAAGTCTGGCTTTACAGTTAAGTGCCATAGATGATAATGTTTGTTTCACATTTTATTGATTTTATAGTGATTTGAGACGATCTTGGTGACAAATGATTATTAAATTGTAGCACTTTTTAGAGGAAGAATCCTAAATGCAATTGGGCAACTGTTGGAAACAAATTATATGAAAATTATCATTATTACTATTTTATGTAAAAAACACACTTCACAAAACAAATTGAGTTTTTTACCGAATGCAGAAACAAGAAAGCAACGTCTTGAAAATCGCTCGATCATAAACGGGTTAGCGATAGTCGGTTAATTATCGTTTTTAAAAATGTTATCTCGGAAACGAGTCGCGGCGAAAGTGATGGAAAGGATGAGATTAGGATGAGAGTCCAATGCTTATCCTCACCGATCAGCAATTACCTTGACACTATCCATCGGGAATCTGTACGGAGGATCGATGGGTAAAGCGTTATTGATAATATTTCGCGATGAGAAATTCGAGCGAGCGATTCGAATCTCTTCACGGATCGTTCGCGATCTGTGAAGGAAAGGGCGAGAGTCCGGTTTCGTATCGGTTTCCTCTCTGTCACAATTTATCCCATAAAACTGACTAATGATACCGGTAAAACGTAACAGAGGAGGAGACAGGCTGGGAAGATAGATGGAAATCCATCTGAAACTATACTTCAAACGCCACCGAGGCTGCGTTCTATTATCCTTGATAGCCTGTTCCTGACGAAGTTACGAGCAAAGATAGTATCGCGAGTGCACCTGCGAGAAAACGATACCTGGTCGGTCAGAAACTTTTTTTTGCGGAAACGGGTTACCAGCCACTGGTGGAAGTGAGGAGGGAGAGAAAAGAAATAAATAAAAAAAAAAGAAAAGAAAAAAAAGAAAAAATGAAAGGAAACCGTTGTGGAAGTTCTTTGTGATCTTGGATGGGCCGGAGAAGAGTGCATAGTCGATGGCTGAGTACCGCTAGATGGCAGGAGTGATATATCTGTCGGTAAATTTTCAATAATCGATAAAGTAGACCGGTTCCATTACACGCGAGATAAAATTCGTGATGTCTGAAGATTGGTGAAGCGGATGCAGGGTTATGAATCGTTTATAGTGGATGTTCCACTTGCGAATGTGGATCAGATTAGGGTAATTTGCCGGCGTGAAAGGCTGTTAGTGGTTGGAATAGGTGCCGTAATGGATCTTGGGTAGGTAGAGGCAGGTGTTGGGCGAAGATTGACTGTGTTTGGGGAGATTTGTAACTGTTGCGAGTGTGGTAGCGAGATATCAAGGTGATATGGATGAAGTTGGAAGAATTTGTGGTTAGATTGGATGATGGAGTCAACATTTTCCCTTCCGTATTCGAAAACGATAAATATGACGAATTGTGAAATTTAATGAAATTGTAAATTTTATATAAAAATATATCTACATTTTTGCAAACGCAATTTCGCAGTCAATCGTTGACACTGTTTTATTTACCAACGCTATTTATCTAACGTTATGTATAAATCTATACGAAAAAAGAAAAAAAAATTTCAGAATTGCACCAATTTCACAACCACAACTGGAGCAGCTGTGAATAACATCGTCCTGTTGGTGTTCGTCAAATTGTTTGCTCAACCACAGCTGCTACCAGTTTTCCGCGACCGCAAGAGGAGTGACCACAAATAGAGCGACGTCCTTTGCAATACAAGAATTTTTCCATACAACTCTTCTTCGAGATCGTCCGCCATATATATATATATATATATATATATATATATATGACGTGGTAACCGGAAGTGAATGTTTATTAAAATACAAACTTGATCAGTCTCGAAACTTCAATCAACATTTAGCTATTGGAGTTTGAGGGAAAAAGTGTAGAGAAAACTTGAATGTTTACGAATCGCAATGGTAATAAAATAATTTTATAGAAATTGATAGACAAACTATGAATACTATTTACCTGATGATCACAAAAGAAAAGATGGTACGAATTTGATATTGGGAAATGTATAATGAAGATGTGTTTTTGCAATGAGAAATCATCTGTTTGAAAGTGCGAAGAACAAAGAAAAAGTAACAACTTTTTCTTTGAACAATTATATATTATTAAAGTATATAGAGTTTGAATATTTACTCGAGGATTTGTTGAACGAAAGTATGAATTGATATTTTGATCAAAATTTTTTATCATTATTTATGATTTTCAATCAATAAATATTAACGAAAATAATTTAAAATATGAACAATCTCTAAGAGAATATTTTAATTATACAGAATTATCATTCGATATTCAGAGGTATAAATATAATAATGAAACGATTAATTCTGTATAATATTTGTAAGATTATAAAAACGTTGAGAATGATCATAGAGGAAACCAAGATAAAAATTAAATTTTCTTGATAATTTCACGAATGTTCGTAAAATTATCCAATCAAAAAATTC